TCAGGAGAGAAGAGAAAACATGGAATAGGAAGAGAAGATAAAAGAATTCAGAAGAGAAGAGAAAACATGGAATAGGAAGAGAAGATAAAAGAATTCAGAAGAGAAGAAAAAATATGGAATGGGATAGAACAGAGCAGAAGAGAGAATAGAATAGGAGGAGAACAGAAAGAGAACGAGAAGAATAGAGGGAAACAACATTAGTGCCAGTTGATGATATTCGTGATATCTTTTTAAGTGTTCAGTTGACTGAGTTTCATGTTTAATGAATAAATGAGTATAATAATAATGCCAAGAAGAGGAGGTAATAAAGAAGGTAATAAAAGGATAATGATGATACTACAGCCTTGCGACTTGGGTAAATATATGTAGGCATCAGACGGTGCTGTTGGGATTAGGTGTTCAGCAGAGGGATAGCTTGGGCGAAATAGCTGTCTCTGTGTCCAGCTGTTTTGAAATGCAGTGTCCTACAGTGGCGTCCTGAGTGGAGGAGTTCAAAAAGGTTATTGTCCAGGCAGGGTCTGTAAATATTTTCTCAGCCCTCCTTCTGACCCATGAGATATACAGATCCTCCATAGAAGGCAGGCTGGTGGCCGTTGGTTTTTCCTGCCGTCCTAACTATCCATCGGAGTCTCTGTCTGTCCTTTTTGGTTGCTGTGCCAAACCAGACAGAATGACAGATTCAATAATACTAACTGGGGAATTCTGGGAATTGAAGTCCACACTTCTTCCAAGGGTGTCCAGCTTTCTCCTTAGGCTTTTTGGGGGGGGGGGTGTTTCAGGGGAACAATGAGATATGGAGTGGCTCCATTGTTGAACAAATCTCTTGTGAGGGGTTGTTTTTTTTAATTGATCAGGTTCTACTTATTGAAAAAAAAACTCATTATAGCACACTCAGCGGTGGGACTTCGTAGCATGAAAGAGACAGCTTGTTCATGTAACGGATAATTTGACTTAAACTTCAGGGAGTATCTCTTTTTCCCCCCATTGTGCATCTATTTTTGCTGTTTCCTTTTAACAATTTATTTATGGCTGTGGATGGAGTTTTATAATCTAGGTTTAAAGCCATCTGGGTGGTTTTTCTATGGAAAACTAGACAGACAGGCAGGCAGGCAGGCAGGCATGTGTGTGAGAGACAGACAGACAGACAGAAACTATGTGATGGATGGATGGACGATGAATGAAGAGATAGATTAACAATGGATGGATTCATTATTGATAAGGGATGCAGAGATAAATTAGAGAGGGAGAGAGATGGACGACTGGAATACAAGGGGAAGGAAAGAGAGAAATATGGATGAGTAGAGGGAGGGAGGGGGGTAGAAAGTGACAGAGGGAGAAAAAACAAGGATGGGTGGATGGAGAGAGAGATGGAGAGATGAATGAGATGATGGACAGACAGGAAGGCAGATGCACGGGTAGAAAGATGGATGAATGGATGGATGGATCAGAAAGGGAGACAGAGCAAAAAGAAAATTGATAAGATGAGATTTAGGTAGACAGAAACATAATTAAATAAGCAGGTCTGTTACAGTTTTCATGCGGTGTAAAGTATTGAGAATTCTGTATGAAGGCAATTAGTTGGAAGCTTAAATTATTTTAATAGTTATAGAGATTCCCGCTAACATTCTGGAAAGTAACATTATTAATGTCTAATAAATCATCACTATAGTGAAAACTATTATCTTCCAGCACCTCTCCAGGTAGACATCAAATGCTTTTCACATGAAAGTTATGGAAAATACTTTGGCAAAACATTAAGAGGTAATGAATAGTGATTTTAATTCACGCAGTGTGGAGCTACAGCAGGTCACCAGGAACAAACCTCAAATGGAGGCAGGCTTTTAAAAGGGGTTTTATTGAACCCACTGGTTTTTTAAAATTTTATACAATTTATTCTGCTTTTCAACAGCCAAGCAGGAAGGAAGGAAGGAAGGAAGGAAGGAAGGAGGGAGGGAGGGAGGAAGGAAGGAAGGAAGGAAAGAAGAGGAAGGGAGGAGTGAGGGAAGGAAGATGGGGGGGAGGGAGGAAGGAAAGAAGGAAAAAGGAATATAGTTGAAGGAAGGAAGGAGGAAGAGGAAGGAAGGAAGGAAAGAAAGAAGAGGAAGGAAGGAGGAGGGAAGGAAGATGGAAGGGAGGGAGGAAGGATAGAAGGAAAAAAGGAATATAGTGGAAGGAAGGAAAGAGGAAGAGGAAGGGAGGAAGAAAAAAGAAAGGAATATAATGGAAGGAAGGAAGGCAAAGAAGGAATGAGGGAGGGAGGAAGGAAAAAAGAGGAATTTAATGGAAGGAAGAAAAGAGAAAAGCAAAGAAAGGAAGAGAGGAAAGAAGGAAGGAAGGAAAAAGGAATATAATGGAAGGAAGGAAAGAGAAAGAGAAAGAAAGAAGGGGGGAAGAAAAAGAAAGGAATTTAATGGAAGGAAGGCAAAAAGGGAAGGGGGAAGGAAGGGGGAAGGAGGAAGGAAAATGCGAGGAAAGGAAGGAAGGAAGGAAGGAAGGAAGGAAGGAAGGAAGGAAGGAAGGAAGGAAGGAAGGAATAGCATGTTTTCTACACACAGACACATTAAGAAAAGGCTCCCAACCACTTTATAAAGCACGTAGCCAGAAATCGCTCTGCAGTTGGGATCTCATGCGCTGCTTCTCCCCTCTCCCCCCCACAGGTGGATCCTGATGACGTCGTAACGAGGGAGGAGCAGATCATGTACCTGTTGGAAGCCAAGGCCCAGTGTGAAAGGAATTTGCAAGAGAAGGGACCCCAAGTGCCAGGTGAGTGTGCATCGGGTTGCACCTTCCTGCCAAGTGCAACTTTGAAAGTCTCGGGGGGGAGTCATTAAAAAAAATGAATGGATCTCTGATTTGGATGATTGGCCGGAATAGATTATAGCAGAGTTTCTCAACCTTGGCCAATGGAAGGCGAGAAGACTTCAATGCCCAGAATCCTCAGCCGTGGCTATGCTGCCTGTGGAGCTATGGGAGTTGAAGTCTGTAGGCCCCGCCCCACCCCAAAAATGCCAACCTTGGAAAATCCTGTATGATAAAAAGGAGAAGGAAGGACTGCGGTTTTCTTGCAGATGTTTCATGACCCCACTAGAGAACATCATCAGTGTTAGAAGGGAGGGGGAGTTGAAGAGGAGGAGGAGGAGGAGGAGGGCGATGACAACTGTGGGGTATTTGGGGGTCTCTGAGCTTGGTGGTTTCATGACCCAAGTAGGTAAAATAATTAGTGTAATATTTCCCTTCCTTCTTTCCTTCCTTCCTTCCTTCCCTCCCTCTCTCCCTCCTTCCTCCCTTTCCTTTCTCCTTCCTTCCTTCTTTGTATCTCTCTCTCTGTATTCCTTTCTTTATTTCTCTCCTTCCTTTTTTGTCTTTTGTTTTTTCTTTCTTTTTCATTTCTTTCCTTCCTTTCCTCACTCCCTCCTTCCTCCCATCTTCCTTCTTTCTTTTCTTCCTTCTCCCTCCTTTGTTCTCTCTCTCTCTCTCTCTCTTTCTCTCCTTCCTTTTTGTCTTACCTTTGTTTCTTTTTTCCCTTCCTTTCTCCCTTATTTCCACCTTCCTCCTTCCTCCCTCCTTCCTTCTTTTCTTTCTCCCTCCTTCCTTCCTTCCTCCTTTGTTTCTCCCTCCCTTTCTCTCTTTCTCTCCTTCCATTCTCTCTCATCTTTTTTTCTTTTTCATTTTCTTCCTTCCTTCCTCCCTCCCTGCTTCTTTTCTTTATCCTCCTTCCTTCCTTCCTTCCTTCCTTCCTCAAAATCTGGACGCCTGACAACTGACTCGTATTTATGACGGTGTTGCAGTGCTTCTGGGTGTGTGTGTGTGATCCCTTTTTGTGACCTTTTGATGACAAAGTCGATAGGGGAAGCCGGATTCACTCATCAACGGCAGTGATTCGCTTAACAACATTGACCAAAAAACAGTCGGTTGTTAAGTGAGCTGCGTCCCATTTTACAAACTTCGTTGTTAAGCAAATCACTGCCGTTGCTCAGTCAGTCACACGGTCGTTAAGCGGATCTGGCTCCCCCCCCATTGACTTTGCTCCTCAAAAGGGTCGCCAGAAGGTTAAGGATCACAGGACACACACACATCCCCAGGACACTGGAACACCGTCATAAGTGCGAGTCAGCTGCCAAGCACTCGAATTTTGACCATGTGACCGCAGGGATGCTGAAACGGAAAAGCAAAGGCTGTAAATCCCTTTGTTTGGTGGCGTCATAACTTCAAGCGGTCGCTAAATGAATTGTTGTAAGACCAGCTGTAACGAGGCAATGGCTGGAGGAATCTTGTCCACCCCATCAGTTGGGGGGGTCCCACACAGCAACCAAGCATTCCTCCATCTCACCCTCCCCCCACCTCCCGCATCACCCCGCTCAGCCTCCCC